CCTAAAAACGAGAAGGCCGATTTAATAAACATCTCTCTGTATATGAAAGTATATTTACAGAAGTGGTTTTCAATGTGTGCTTCACTTGCCAAAAGGAACAGGTGAGTGAGTGGACAGGGTCCTGCAGCTCTATCTTTATCTGTCCCACTTGTTGATTTCAGAATAAGGTTTCATTTGATAAAAGATATTTGGCTTAAAAATATTTGAAAATGACTATTATAGAAGATTCTAGGCAGTTCCCCATCTTTGAAAGCCACAAAAAAAAAAAAAAAAGACCTTATTTTGTGGAAGGTGGGATTAAGTTACCTAAAATCAAATTACCAGGTTCTGTCTATGAAAAATATTATTACCAAAGAAAGCTGTATCACTTTCTATTCTCTAAAGTTTTAAAAATTGCATAATTCTTTTTTAATGCATTTTAAATAGCATATGAAAATTTTACTGCAAAAATCTTAATATAGAAATAGAGAAAATAAAAATTGAAAATATAGAGAATAAAAACTATGCTAATTCCATTTCTTTCCCCAAAGATAAGTACTGTTAACAGGGGTTTTTTCCCTATGTATATACACATACATATACAGAACAACTCATGTTCATCTGTTATTCTTGATCTGCAGTTCCCTCTCAAGTTTGGAGGAAAGACTAAGGAGACTGTTCCCTTGAAATCCACAGCTCTATGATTTTGGTGGTATATATCCTTAATACTGAAAAATAAAGCTTAAATGAAGCCAAGATCGTTTCTAAGTGTGTGGTTCAGTCCTGTAGGAAATTCTGGTTACTGGGAATGCTAAAAAGAAGCATGAGTGGCCAACAACCTTTGCATATGTCTTTAAAAAATACTTGCCCTGCTAATCTACAAGCAATTACACAACCACAACAGTCAGAACAGCCATGTCCCTTGGCTTAGATCCAACCTCATTCTTTTATTGAAATCTATATTTGAGTCACAGAACTTTGAATTCACGTTAGTTACTGAATTTATGAAATCTATACAATTTCACCATGTGACACAGGATAAACTTTTACTAACTTGGTTTACAAGTTATGTATCAGTCTGAATAATACAGTATCTTGGTGGAGAAGCAGAAAGAAACAGTGAATAGGCACTTTTAGTGTGTATCGAAAATATACCTTGCCTTCCCAGTTTTCAGTATAATTTTCCAATGTACAAAAGTCTCTGATTTTAACTGAATTTTAAAAAGAAAAGTACCTGAATTCTTAGACTTTTAAGGCATGCTTAAGTGGTAAGTTGTCACTTAGCTGGTTATTCAGAATATGTAAACAATATTGTCATGAGAATAGATAAAAGTTTTATTTCTGTTCATTTTGTTACCAATGTTGTGCAACCTGAATGGGTTAGTAATTTTTTTTTTTTTAACACCTCCAGCACCTGGTCTTCCTATGTGGTCTCCCATCCAAGTACTAACCAGGCCCAACCCTGCTTAGCTTCTGAGATCAGATGGGATCGGGCATGTTCAGAGTGGCATGGCCGTAGACTTAATTTTTTTTGTTTATAATAAACTCTATTACATTTATAACAATGGGAAAGTGTAAAGCTAAAGATAATATAAAGTAGAAAATAAAAATATTTATATTTGCTTATAGAGTGTGTTTTTAAACTTATTGTGGAATGTGTTTTCAAACTTAAAACTAACTGTAAGTATATATGTCTGGGTTATTAAACAAAATATTACAGCAAAAAATGTAAAAATATAATTCAGTGATTTGGTAGAAATGTCATGAGGTCAAAGATATAGATTAAAGAACTATCTCGTTTCACTCATTTTTATGCAGTTTTACTGAGGCCCGACTGATATTGGCTGTGTTAGCTGAAAAAAGTTATTTAGCCATTTTAGATTTTAGTTTTATCGTTTGAATATTAAAGAGATTAGACTAGGTAATTTCTAAATACCTTTTCGACTTTTATTATTAAACTGTAGTTCTTAGGGGAGGCGTGGCAACCACAAAAGAAAATGAGTGTGCCCTTACCAAAAAAGGGGGATGGGAAATGCTTGGCAGGCCAAAACTACAAATATCCCTTATGGAAAAGATATTTATTCCCACATTTTGTAGCCTTTTGCTATCTTTTCTATCTCATTGTCAGCTGTCACTCGTGCTGCTGTCAGTTTACCTCTACCACAATCTCTTCCCACATTTTAGTTGGTAATATCTTCCAAGAGTTTGGAAACCTAATGGGCAAAGTCATTAGAATTCTTTTCAAAATACAAGTTAATGGACTCTGAGTGAGGCCTTGAAAGCCTCTCTATGAGTAAGGAGTATAAACCTATTTTTTAATAGGTTTCATGACATTTCCTATGGCTCTTCAAAGGTCATTTCTGCATATTTTCTGATTTTTTTTTTTTTTGGCCATAACTGCCTTCTTAATAGATATATATTATAATTTCAATACCCAATGATCGTGAACAGTAAATATTATGAACATAGTTGCTTTAAATAAAGGTTACATTTTGTGATTTTCCTAAATTTAAGTGGCCTTCTAAATTGAGACAGGTGGTGTAAGTGTTCTTTTGGAAACGGAAACAGCAGAAAATAAACAGAGTTGACTAATTAGTTGTAAGTTGTTTTACTGGACTTATTAAAATACTGCTGTTTAATTTTACCTTTCTCCCTTCAGTACCTCTCTGATCTCAAATAAGTACTTTGGCTTCCATGGTAAAGATTATAGGGAAATCGGGGAACAGAAAACTATATAAACTCCCACAGATGGCATATACTGTACAACATACCAAGTTATGATATGATTGTTTATGTTAAAAAGAACCAGTAAAACATTAATAAAATAAATTTTCAAAAATTTCATTTTAGCCAATCGTTCACGTCTACTAGAAATAATCATTTATACTTGTTGACTATTTAAAAGTATTCTTCATAAGTGGCAGAATTAGCTGATTTTGAGAATTTCATAAAGGAGGTGGCATTAGCGACAGTTTATATAATTCTACTAATGAAAAAGGTGAAGAAATGACAGTGGTGAGTGTTATATCCACCTAATTAAGAAGCTGTCATCAATGGGATTAAGAAGTAAATTCTTTAAGACTGGTGAGACTTTGTCCTGCTTAACAGGAAAGGCAAAAAGATTCTTAAAGATTCATGATAATTAGGGAGAAGGCGTTTGTGTGGCTAATAACCAACACTATTGAATGCTCACCATCTGCATGGTTGGAATTACCCTTGTCTCCATCGTATAGATAAGGAATTAGTTACAAAGAGGTTATGCAATTTGATATGTGATGGAGCTGAACTTCAGGCCCAGGTTTGTCCAACTCCAGAGCCAGCAGACTTCGTCACTTACTATGGTATTAAGAGTCATTCTCCACAGAGGGTGAAGGCCAAGTGCCAGGGATATGATATCCTAACTCTCTAGCCTCATCTCCCATTACTCTCAGCCTCCCACCGCATGACCCAACAAAGTTTCTCCTCTAGCTTCCGTGCATCTATGCCTTTAAGACAAGGGTTCTCTAACACCAACATTTTCCTGTCAAATGCTGTTCTTTCTCATTACAAGTCTAAATTTCGGAGTAAGTTTTTAAATCTAAACAATTATGTATACATATGTACACACATATATCATATATATGTATTTACATGATATATAATAAAAATCAAAATAAAGGTTTTTGAGATGTCACTCTGGCTAATATTGAAAATGATTCCTTGAGGCAGGAGTCTTGTCTAATTGACTCCTGTCTTTATGGCCTAGCATAGTGCCTGGGACATATTAGGCACTCAAATATGTATTTAATTCGATTTTCCCTTCTCTCATATAATTTTTTTCTTTGGTTGTACCAAAGTTTGTAGTTTGTACCTCTATTATAATATTCATCATATTTGTTGCTTTAGGAATAAGTTTGGTTACTAGTAAAAAGAAAATTCGACTGATAGCGGTGTAAACAACTACCTCAAATCTTGGCAGTCCTAGACTGATGCAGCAACTCAAGGATGTCGTCAAGGAATCAGCTCATCCTATTTTATTTATCTACTCTCTTTGGCATAGGGCCTTTTACTCTCATGGTTGGAAGATGGCTGCTGGCCCTCCAGGTAGTGTATCTACATTTGAGGAAGAAGAAAGGGAAATATTGGAGGACAAAGGGTAAACAGTGATTCTTGAAAGCCTTGCTTTATTGTTTGAGAATGAAAGCCCTCCCCAGGGACTCCCTCTTATGTCTCATTACAGACAGCCGTGACACTTGGCCACCTCCCTACAAATTGGCTAGGAATTCGAATGCTTGGTGCTCAGCCTATATAGCATAGGAAGCCCAGGGAGAAGAGATTGAAGTGGGTGTTTATGGAGCAACCTGTAGGCCTGCTCTACAAGATTTTTAGTTACTTCATTTAAGTTTATTTTTCTTTTTTTCTGGCATACTGTAAGCCTATAGAGAACAAAAGAAAATGTGTTTTGGTATCTTTGAGTTGCCCACAATAGCTAGCATGTGACTACCGTAGCACTTATTACAGTGTCTAAGACATTGTGGTTACTCAAATCAATATTGTTATATTTTTTACTTTAATTTGGAAATAAGAACCAAGCAGGAATTAATCACTCCGGTTTCTCTGAAAATGATGGAATCCATAAATTTCTCTTTGATGACTCATCTCCTCATATCAACATTGGAAAATTACTTGTAGCCTTTCTGATTCATTGAGTTGGCCCATTAGAGAGGATTATTTAATGGTAATATTGGAATATTTGAAGTAAAACTCAAAAAAAAAAGGACAGGAAAGAAATCATATAAAAGTATGATGGTCAACAAAGGCTTTTTCAAGAGAAGTAAGAGGTAGATAAGAATTAGGATAAAATATTGTAATCCAAGAAAAGATTAGCAATTGAAAAGTGAGAATAATCTAAAGTATTTTAACCACTCAGAGTTCTAAGGGACAAAATAAGTATAGTTCATTCATTTAAAATGCTCAAATTGCTGTTTATTTTTAAACCTAAAATTGCTGTTCTATAACTATACTGTTTTTCTTCAAAACAGATCTTATTCCTCATCCATTTGTCATCTTATTCTTAATTATAAATCATGGGAGATGAAGATAAGACAATTGAACGTGAAGATTTGAAACCATCCACAGGGGTGAATCACGCAGTCTCTACATATCAAGAAACACAGGTAAATCTATGATCAAAGGGAGAACATCCCAACTATTTCCTTAAGGAATAAACTTTATGTTTCCAAATCTTTGTTGGAATTGTGTTCTCCTCCTTCTTTATTCACTCAGTTAACGATCTTCCCCATTCTTAATCCTCAAACTCTTACTGTTTAAGCTGTGTATGACTACCAGTTTCCCCAGATAGTCATTAGCAGCTGACCCAACATGAAGCTGGAAAAATGGAGAACCTGTGAATGTCTTTGTGTTCTCAGCCTAACCCCTAGTATGATTCTGGTTTCTTCCTTCTCTCTTTTTATTACTTAAATTCAAGTAGATGAATGAATGTGAATTGGTTTTCGCCACAGATAGTCATCTTTTTCTGAACTACTGTTATATATTTACTATTGCCTTGCATCATATCTTAAATAGGCTAATTTTTAAACCCAATATTGCAAAACACAATGAACTTTTATGTAACTCAAGCATTTATAATGATATAAATAGTCACTCAGTGGTAAATACTCCACATAGTTCTTATTCCAAGCATTAGCTGATTAGCTAGTAATAAATCTGTTCATTTACCCTGTAAAGTGTTAGCCTTGATTCTAGTAATGGGAATTTGATTTGTGATATGATAGCTCAGTAACTAAAAAAAAAAATGTATACCAAATATACACTTTTAAGGAATTTTTTTAAATTGCTTTAATCACAGGAGGAAACAGTAATGAATCTCAAAGGTATAGATAGAAATGAACCAACAGAAGGAAGTAACCTTTTGAATAGCAGTGAAAAAAGGCTACAAGCAACAACAACTGAATCTACTTGTTTTCAAAGACTAAGGCAAACATTCTCTTGCCCTCCACATGGTTCACTGGACAAAGTAATAACAGATGGTATGTAAACGGTAAGGATGATTTAAGAAAGGAAGGATAAAAGATGAAGTTGTTGTACATGGAAGATTACAAAATAATACAGTTTGAAGGACAAAAAGAAGTTTACTTCTCTTACATAAAAACTATTAGGTGAACAATTTATAATGGCACGTAGCTCTGCTCTACTCAGTCATTCAGGGGCTCAGGCTGAAGGGCTCCACCATTCTTGATATGGGGCTTCTAAGAGCACTGTGGTCACCACCATTCTAGCCATCAGAAAGAGGAAAGGAACACAGATCAAGGACCTTTTCCTTTTCTGTATCTGAGTAATTTCACAGGATAATGTTAGGGCTCCAGTAAGAAAAGTTATTGAGAAATCACTTGTAAACAGAAACACACTGCATAAATGTTGGTTGTTATTATTGTTAGGTAATGGAACTAATGTTTAAGAGAACATAGTTCAGTTTATACTTCTGAATGAGTATTGTCATTTTATGAGTAGGGATCTTGGTTTGCATTTCAACTTATTACAATAGAGCTATTATTACTTATAATATTCTGGGGATTTTCCTTTGGGAATTTTTCTCAGTATGATTTTGAATATTGTTGAGGTTGGGATATATTTATCTTTTAGGAATAAATTTGGATTTTGGAGGCGGCCAAACATTCTGATATCGATTTGATAAATATAAATGGATGTTCAAATTGAATACTGCTGTTTTTGTTTTAAAAGAAATGTGTGTGTTCGTGTCTATTATGTATGTTGGAGGATATGTAGAATAGTAGTAAAAAGAAGGGGTTGAAAATTGTCTAAAAAGACAAATTTAAAGACAATTTCAAAAATCGTGTTGAAGAATAACAGCCTCATTGGAATAAACATAATGCCTCCCAAAGTAAATATGTTGATGAATATAACATGTTTGAGCTAAAAGTTATGTTTACTGAAAAATTAGACTCACTTCTCTATAGCCGTGTTTTATTTGGGAGCTCTGAAAGTATTTTTACCATTCTTAACTGAGGCAATGGAAGCCAAGTATAATACATTACATTTTAGGCTCTAGATATGTTTTCAATGAAATTAGGTAAGTTTCTAAACTAGCATGAGAAAAAAATCTCAAACTTTATTTAAAACAAAGATAAAACCATGTTCCAAAATATACACTAGTTAATACTGCAACAGATAATTTAATATACTTTCTGTCCTTTTTGTTATTTTTTAAAATTTCTACCATTCAAATTATGGTACATTTCTAGTTAAAACATTTATAGTAAAACAGATAACAGATTGACATAAGGAAAGGGCATAAATGAATGATGTGATTTTGATGCTCATTTTTAAAAATTCTATCATTATTGTCCATAAGCTGCCAGAGAAGTGTGATTCACAGTATATAAACACTTCTTACTTGTTTTCCTGTACTTCTATTCCTGAGGTTTACAAGAATTATTTTTTCTATATTCTTTCTTCTGTCTATTCAGTATATGTAGGTATTCTTAAGAAGTAAATCTTACATGTGAAAATATAATTTTCCAAAGTTGTAAATGAAAAGTAAATTATTAACCGAATTAAATGATTTAAGAGACACCTTATAAATGTACATTTACTATGTATTTAGAACTGCAATTTGAATATGGGAAAGGAAAGGAAAGTTAGAGATTTTAAAATCAGTGGTCTTAAAGTGGAAAAAATGTAATTATTGACACAGTATTTATTTATTCCCATCAATATATAATTTATATTACCAATATATATTTATTGGCCAAGTATACTACCCATATATAATTATTGACACAGTAATCATTTGTTCCTATCAATAAGTACATAACCAGATCTCATGTATGATATATTAAAGTTCCATTGAAGTGGAAAACTCCTAATTCTACCTTTCTGAATTTAGTATAAAATTGGGTTTATTCTGTGATAAAGTAAAATTTAGTAGCTGGCAATTCCTGCTTTCCCGTTATACCTCTAATACTGCATAGAAATTTCAGGCTTTATAGCCAGTTGGAAAATGCTGAAGGCCACTTAGTTATTTTACTGTAATAGCATCATAAACCTAGAAGATGTGAAATAATTCTGTAAGGGTGTAATGGGACATTGAATTCGATCTCTATATGGTAGACAAAACACAGTGAACAATCCTTTCACTTATACCAATGAAAACATCTGAAAAAATATTTCAAGTGTTTTTAAATGAACCTTTTATCTGTCAAGAAAGCAGGAAATCATCAGACACCAAAACAAAGTATAAGTAAGATAAAGAAATATTCAATCTGGCTTTTACCCTGGAGTCTTCTGCAAAACGCCAATGAACTTGAGATTCATTTTAAGGAGTATAGGAGGATATGCTAAAGCCTGCCTGGGTTAGAAGAAGTTTTATAGGAGAAATCATTCTCCCTCACCCACATGAAGTTGGAACCCAGTGTGATGGTGAATTTAGGGTAAACTTGCCCCGTAGATGCGTCCTGCAACTAAACCTATCTGTCTCAGTTGGGGTGCTGGCTGGGGAGGGGAAAACCTCCACTAAAAATGTGAAATTCATGCTGATTTGTGCTCCAAATTCACAGAAAAAAAAATCAAGCTAAAAGTATGTCTATAAGCAGTCCTAGATTATAAAACTTCTAAGCACATGGTAGAAGCGAATTCAGATCCTATCTGGCAAAACTCACATTCAGCTTAAGGCTCCAACAATTTTCAGAGATAAAGTTCCAAGGAAGAGGTCACTATCACAAAAATACAAACAAAAAATCACAACATGCCGAAGGAAACAGATTTTGGAAATTTTGCTTTTTCAGAAAATAGAATATAAAATATTCTCGATATCCATAAAGTTAACGAAGAGATAGCAAATATGAGTACCCAACATGTAACTATTTTAAAAATGAACAAAGATATTTAACAAGAACCAAATTGAATTTCTAGAAATGAAAGATATAGTACAATAATTGAAATTGAAAACTCAGTGGCTGGATTAGGCAGTAGATTGAGTGAAAAGATAATTGATGAACTAGCTAATAGATCTGAAGAGCTTATCTAGAACACAGTACATACAGACATAGATGGAAAATACGGATACTAGGGTTAGCAACACGGAGAAAAGAGTGTGACTATCTAATCATATTTCCAGAAAAAGAATAGGAAGAATGGGGAAGAGGAAATATTTGAAGAAATAAAGACAGAATTTTCTAGAATAGACGAAAAGCATAAAAACTAAGTAAACCAAGCAGAAGCCACACCTAAACACAACAAATTTAAAAATATCCAAAGAAAAATACTCTAAAAGAGCTGAAATTAAACTCAAAATTAAAATTAGCAATAGTGAAAGTCAAAAAAAAAACAAGGAATAATATTTTCAAGGAATTTACAGAAAGTAACTCTTAACCTAGAACTGTATACCCCAAAAAACTATCTTTTATAAATGAGAATAAAGATAATTCCAGACAAAACAGAATTTACTATCAACAGATTCTAAAGTGAGATATAGCATACTCTGCTACAAAGTGTTTCTGTACCATGAATCAGATCATATGCAATGGTAAATAGGGAATTATATCGATGTAATATGCAATTTGCATTTTTCTACATAATTTTTCCTGGCACATTAATATGTTGCATCATCAAGCAATAGAAATGAATGCAAAGTGAATTGAAAACCACACACAAAAAAAAATTACGTATATACTTTCCTACAATTAAAGATAAAGCCTTACTAACGCTAGGACCTTTTAAAAAGCTGAAATCCCTGTGGAAGAGCTTTCTTTTCAGGCACTTAATTGCTGATTTAGGGACTTCAAAAACTTTTAAACTTTCCACAACATTAAGCTGTTTAATGAAGAAGCTAACAGTACAGGTGAAGATGCTGCCAAAACTTTTCTCTCAGTTAATAAAAGCAAACATTAAAACAACATTTGATTGTTGGAGAAGACTACAATCTGGATCAGATTTTGATGCAACTCCTCTCTATTTAAAGCAAAGCCCTCAAGATTCTTCATCTTATAACTGGAAGTGTGGTTCCGGGATTTTAGTCTATGAAGACGAGACTGACAGTGGGAGATCCAAATGTCAGTGGAGATTTAACTGTTGGTATTTTTATTAGGATTATTGTTTTTGTTAGTGCTTTGGTCACAAGTTTTGAGTTTTAAGTGGTTTTCCCAACTCTGATTTTTTCATGAGCCTTTCTATGTTTGGTGTATAATTTTGTAAAACAAAAGGTTTTCAAATAGGGAAATGTATTTCACTTTCTAACAAACATGCCTCTACTAAAGGGAATACTTCAGGCAACAAAATAATTGTCCCAGATGAAAAATGTGGGATGCCATAATGAATGATGATTTAAAAAATAGGTAAGTATGTGGGTAATTCTAAACAAACATTGACTATAGAAAAGAAACAATAATGTTTAATTCAAAGCAAGACTAAAATACTAGAGTGCGATTGTTCAAGTATTCTCATGTTCCTGTGAAGAGGGTAAAGATAGTGATTATTTCTCTTTTTAATATTAACTAGTGACATATTTATATTTATGGTAAAATTATTTTTAAAAATAAGGAAATGGTAAAAAAAAAATCAAGGTAGTATTTTTTTCTGGCAATATGAAGGGAAATGGAGAATGGGATTAGGAAGGGCACATTGGTGGATTCAAAACCACTGGTAATATCCCGTTTCTCGAGATGGTTGGTAATTACTCAGTTATTCATATTAGTGATGTTCTTTAAAACTTATACATGGTTATAAGTATTTTTATATGTATTCAATATTTATTTTAAAACTTTTTAGATTATATTAAAACCTTCATATGACAACTTATTAATAGAAACTAGTTTTCCTGGTTTATTTCAGTTACCATCGTTGTTCTTCTGTGGGCTGTAGTTTGGTCAATAACCGGCAGTGAATGCCTTCCTGGAGGAAACCTATTTGGAATTATAATCCTTTTTTATTGTGCCATCATTGGAGGTAAACTTTTGGGGTTCATTAAGTTACCTGCCTTGCCTCCATTGCCTCCTCTTCTTGGTAAGTGCTAAACATGCCTATTTTATTTTATTTTTTCCAGAGTAAATCATATTTTAAAAAGTCGTTTGGAAAGTTTAGGAGATAAAGGCATAAACTATTTCTATATTTTCTGTGCTAGAGCTAAAAGCTGTGAAACTTCGAGTTTTTTGAAACAGTTCTTTAACATTGTGATTTCAAAAAGTTAAATTATATATACTTACAACTGTATAACTTGCATTAAACACAAGAGCAGTAAATCCTCAAAACTGGTCAGTTCTTATTATTATACTATATTTCTCCTTATCTCTGTTCTTGAGATTATGGAAATACTGTATAATGATGTGCCAGTAATATCATGTTGGTAGCTTAACATAGGCCATGGTGGAAGTATCTACACTACAAAAATCAGCAAATGCTACAAATCATGTATATTGGATATATTGTAAGATACATGAGTGAAGTTCCAACAAGAATTTTTATTGTTTCATTTTTATCTTATTCATTAACATAAATAAAAATATCAACCAATATTCATGGTGACACTATACTCGTTCATTAGTGATGTGAGTGACTTCTTGGCTAATTTTTTTCAATAAGGATTCGCTTCAAAATAACTTGGGAGTAGATGAAATAAGATTGACCATGCATTGATAATTTTGGCATAGTTAAACAATTTTATAATACAAATTAAGGAGAAAAAAATAGTTAACAAAGATGTTCTTCACAACCAAGGGAGTGAGAGAGACACCTGCCAAATCACAGTCAGGTGGCCACGTCATTCCAGCTCATTGACAAAAAGGACGGTGTCCCAGAGAAATTGTTTACACATTCATTTTGGGAATAAAAATGCTTTCCCATTTCCCCTAAAACTTCTAAAGAAACTGTTAACATATTTTTGAGTTCTTATAAGATTATTATTCCTTTTGATTTCAAGTAGTTCTATGCTATAGTCAATCTAGGACTGGTTTCGATCCACATTTTAAGTTTCAGTACATTACTATTGACATATTAGTGAAATATAAGGTTAGTGCAACATTTTTGGCCAGAAATTCATCAATATCTATAAGAATGGTATATAGCTATGCCCTGGATTCTAACATTTTCACTTCTAGGAGTTATCCTGTGTAAATTCTTGTACAAACCTACAAATATGTAAGTTCCATAGAACAAGGGACATGTTGGCCTAGCTCACCTCTGTATTACAAGGGTATCAGAAGAGTCTGGCAGATTGTAGGTGCTTAATCAATACTTGGTATATGAACTGGTCTATTACTGGTCCCAAAATTATGATATTTCTAAACAGTGAGATACTGTTGCAACTATTAAAAACTAAGGCAAATATATATGTATATATGCTTCATTGATAATACGTCCATGATATATGGTTAAGTGGAAAGAAAACCAAGTTGCACAATGGTATATAAATATGCTTCCATTTGTGTCCGACACAAAAAAGAGCACACACAGCACACACACATACACGCAGGGATGCTTAAATAGATATAGAAACTTTGTGGAAGGGCACAAATAACCCTTCACAGTGGAAACCTTTGGAAATGAAGACAGAATGTTGCAGTTGGGGTAGGGCATTTTACCCTTGTCTGTAATGTTTTAATGGTATCATGAGCATATATTATCATTATTCTTTTAAAATCAGCTATTATAGGCTAGTTCATACTTTCCAGAATTCTAGAAGAAGACTACAGAATTCAAAACATTTAAGATATTCTTCTAGATTAAATGGCAGTGATGAGAGATGCCTGGAAGTGATGCTTCCTTGCTTAATGTGTCTGGAGCAAGTCACAAAAAGCTATACTTGTAATTCACCTCTATTCTCATAGCTTACATACAAAGCACCCCAACTTTAGTAAATTTTAGTCATTTAATATGTGGTGCTTATAAGGACATGGTAAGAGGAGGGTCCTCCTGGAGAAGAAGGGAAGACAGAAGCCAAGTCTGATGGAGGAATCTTTCCCTTTGTGTGTGGGCACATGGTATCAACAATGGCAGAATTCTCTCACCACAACTCAGCTCCCGTGGTCCCACTCAACTACTTGGAGTTCCCAGAAGGTGTCACACTTTCTCGTCATATGTTCGAAAAAACTGCTCTCTCTCCCATAAACTTCTCAACTCCCCAACCTCTCATTGCCTTTCCCTTCTTTGGACCCTCTGACTCAGCTCTCCTCTCAGCTCATACAATGCTTCCTCATACTTCCGTAAAATTGAGACTTTCAGTTTGTCTTGCCCCACTAGAGGCTGAAAGCTTGTTGAGGTGTGTACTGAGTTCTTGTTCATTATTATCTCTAATACCTACTACAGTGTCCTAAATACTGAATAAGTCACCAGCTGACATGACAGTCAATCCATTTAATCATAACTCACTTCTAAGCCTTTGCAAAGCAGGTTATGTGTTTTTATTAAATTATCTGGTTTGAAGTTAAAATAGAGCCCATAGAGGTATTTACTGATATCTCAGGTAATCTGGCATAACAAATAATTTTAGGAGCTGTTTTCTATTTGCACACAAAGGGGTGACTGAATTGGGCGTTGTATTAAAACATTTTATATTTAGACTTTGATCACACTTTCTATCTAAATACTACATTTTGTTTTTCCTTTTCAGCTTCAGTTATTTAGGATTATTAATTATTCCAATCTATCATTTTTATCTGTGCATTAAAGGATTTTCTTAGCTCCTCTATTTTACCATAGTATTTTAATTTTTTAATTAAAGTTTAAAGTAATTTTATCTAAGTACGAAGCTAAAGGAAGTGGTTCCTGGAATTATAAGGTAGTCTCTTTCACACCTGAAGTGCCAAAAGAATATTTTTTGTATTTGAAAACTAACTAAAAAGTTGTTTGACTTCTCCATTCTAGGCATGCTGCTTGCTGGATTTCTCATCAGAAATATTCCTGTCATCAGTGATAATGTACAGATCAAGCACAAGTGGTCTTCTGCTTTGAGAAGCATAGCCCTGTCTGTCATATTGGTTCGCGCTGGCCTTGGGCTTGATTCAAAGGTACTGAAGTATAAATTTTTAACTGTTGACTAGGGATTTTGTTTCTCTGATGCTGAAATTATTTAGAATTATTGAGATTTAAGAAATGAATGTGGACACTTTGTGTGGCATTCTCAAGAAGAGAATGAAATTTATTTCTTGCAAGAGTATCCCTAGAAGATGTTCCCATACTCTTTCTTGGAGAAAGGTAGAGTTACTGTCTGTCTGGGGACAGCTCTAAGAAGAGTAAAGTCCCCTCCCTCTTTCTCTGATGAGAAGGCCATAGATGTAAATAATGGTCATGAGAGAGATGGCATAGTTTTGGTGTACGAAGCCCTATACAAGTGTCTAGGGCTAACTATACTAGCTCAGGAAACTGCCTAATATAAAGAATAAGTCTCAAGTATGCTTTTTTTTTATGTATGTGTTTGAGTGCAGGAATGAATGTTCTTGGGGATGAAGGTCTTTACCCTAGGTTCATTCTCCAGCCACAAATTATACATTAAGCTAACACCAAGGTGGGTAAATCAGCTAGTATCGCGATTGTGAGCACAGACCCTAGAGCAGCCTTCCTGGGTTCAAACTGAGCTTCGCCACTCATTAATTTCATAATCTTGAGCAAATAACTTTAACTTGTGCCTTTTTAAATGAGGACATCTAAAAATGGTAATAATAATTTACCTGTATCATAGGGTTTCTCTGAGGACTAAATAAGCTATCTCTGAAATGCTTAGAATACTGAAATGTTTGTTAAAAACTCATTATCTGGAAAATTCATCACGATCCAGACATGGTTGGAATACTGAAGAAAAGACATTTAATGTCATTTTCTCTGCACGTCTTTAGAGTAGTATTTTAGTACGTCTATTTTTATATTTCAGGCCCTGAAGAAGTTGAAGGGTGTTTGTATACGATTATCCATGGGTCCTTGTCTTGTGGAGGCATGCACGTCTGCTCTTCTTGCCCATTTCCTGATGGGTTTACCATGGCAATGGGGATTTATACTGGGGTAATGATTTTTTCTTGTCATATGAACATATGCACGGACATTTAGGACTTTCTCTGATTTTACACAAGAGAGTGCATAACATTTTCTTAAGGACATCAGAAAATACAACATGGATATTCCAGCATAGTATTGTTGCTATTACTATTCTAGCATATAAATATTATTATTTCAAAATATAGTATATGGCATTATAGGTGCTAACTTTGACAGTTATAATAACTCAAAGTATTGAGGAAGTAATGGACTTTTACCTACACTTTCTGGAGAGAGAGCTACTAGATCTCAAAGTCTGCATAAAGGATAATAAATAAATCAATAATGATCAGCAATTAGCACTGTTTTCCTCCTTCTGTCACCACACTATTGTGATTACGTGATTCTGCTGTCTCTTCCTTCCACTGTCAGTTCTTACTTCTAATGCAGGCTATGAGAGATAAAGATATATATATAATGTGTTATGTGTGTGTGTGTGTGTGTGTGTGTGTGTGTGTGTGTGTGTGTGTGTGTGTATGCAACCAAAGTGCTTCCAGTTCAGGTTGCCTGTGGCCAAACTTTGAAAAAGCATTCTTTAGAACGTGTGCGTGTGTAGGTATTTCTGGTTTGGTGCATCACTGTCATTGGAAAGACTAATTAAAGTATGATCTCTAAACGAGTAAAGGTTATCATAATTTCAATAATAGTAATGATGATGAGTAAGGTACAATTGTAAATGTTTAAAGTGCTGCCTGCTTAGTTTTGTCTTAGGTGCTGTCTCTCCAGCTGTTGTGGTGCCTTCAATGCTCCTTTTGCAGGGAGGAGGATATGGTGTTGAAAAAGGTGTCCCGACCTTACTCATGGCTGCTGGAAGCTTTGATGACATTCTGGCCATCACTGGCTTCAACACATGCTTGGGCATGGCCTTTTCCACAGGTAAACTGATCAATTTACTACGTGATGTTCACATGAACTGTAGAGGCATAGATTATGATGTTATAAACATAGTATATTTGTTTGATGATTGATTATGGCAAACTAAAATAGAGAAGCAACTCTAAGAGTTAGTTCTGTACCTAAGATAGAACCACTAGCTTCCTATCTTTATTCCCTTCTCCCTCTAGGCACAGACTGCTCAAGAAGTAAAGGAAATGCATTAAGGGGAAATGCAGAGTAGGCAAGTTTAGAGGAGAACAGTTTCTGTATGGATCTATCTGGGAAAGGTTAATCTTGAAGACTTCACACAGGGATGAGTAGATTTTTCAATGAGCACAAATAATAGCTGCCTAAGTGGAAGGAACAACTCTTGTTCTCTCATCTTTAACATTTTATGGGTAATAACAGTAGTGATTTCAATAAGTATCATTAATACTTAGTATGTGTCTGGTATGGATTTATTTTGTTTTAAGTAGTAATAAAAAAAGGAACTTAAGGCATTTTTTTCTCCCACTATTATTCAACAACTTATGTCCTTTGGCACAGCACACACTTCAGTTCATTTTTTAATCTATGTCCAAGATTGGAAGATAAGATTTGCAATTTCATATTATTTATAAAATGTTATTGTAGCTAAATTTAGCTTCAGACTATTTAGTGGGAACACAGCTTAGAAAGTTATGTATTCTCTCTCCACCCCCTGGTAGTTATCTTACCATTTTGTGATTTTATCGATTACCTAGAATCTTACCTCTTCCCATTGTCCCAGTTGCCTTACATCCAGTCCCTGTGGTGTCTCACTGGTAAATTAATATTATCAAAACATAGCTTTCATAGTGTAACTTGCTTGTTCAAGAACCAATGAGAATTCCCTAATAAGTCAAATCTTATTATACTATTTTAACTCCACTGTGCCTATCCAAACTTATGTTCTCACTGCGTTCTTGGTGTAAACCTTTAAAACAATGGTGATTCTCAGCCCCAGCTACCCACTAGGATTACCTGGCGTGGAGGTGGATTTAAAAAATATTTATATGTGGGCCTACCTTAGACCAATTAAATCAGAACCTTTGGGAATGGAAAATGTGGCTTTAGAGTATTAAAAAACAAATTTCAGCCAAGTAAATTTGAAGATCTAATTGGCTTTATTAAGTGATTCATGAATTGGGCAGCATCCCATTTAGCAACTAGAAGTGCACTCTGAGGGGTTATACAAAGTGGAAGATTGTTATAAAAAGAAGAGTAGGGCAAGGAGCTATTCACAAAAGAAAAGAAATTATTTTTAGACTAAAATGTCTTTTTTATGGGGTGGGGAAGGCAAGGGTTTATATCATGTGGATTGCCTATTCTTTCTATGGAGGATGGAGAGGGCCCACATGACAGGAAATTTGAGACTGGTTAATCAAAATTATATTTCTGAGAGAGGTTGAAACTGCAATTAAATCAGATATCAGATCTAGGTTTGGTATCATGGCCTTTAACACAGTGATACCATTTTAGTCCTATGATTTTTTCTTTAATAAGAGCAACAGAGTTTGCATTAGAATCACAGGGGAGAAGGGAAGAACAGGGGCAGGGAGGGCAGTGGGGAGGGTCTGCTTGAAATTTTATAATCTGGGGGGAGATAGAGGCTGTGGATACCTTTAAAAACCTTACTCCTTGACAATGTTCCCTCCGCCCTATCCCCCTAAGTGTAGTCCTTAGACTTTTTAGATTGGAACTGTATGGAACCTCTTTAAAATGTAGATCCCAAGCCCTGCCAGACCTACTGAATCAGAATTTTCAGAGGTGGGGCCCAAGAAGTCTTTCTTTTTTTTTTTCAAAACAACCTTACTATACAAGAGACTGAAAGTAATCAGTTACTTTCTACACATTCTTAGTAAATAATTTACTGTGATAATAACATGTTATTATTACATACTTTGACAGTCGCACAATGTCTAACAAAAAGAGCTAAATAAAGAGTCTGAGCTAAATAAAACTACTACAAAAGTATCGTGTTTTTAAGTAAGAAAGATGATGAAACTGTAGAGGAAGAAAAACTGGTTCCCCTCTACCTACTTTAGGTTCATTGGCTGGGGCCCTCTAAAGACAGATTAACAAGAGATAAAAGGTTTATTAGCATGTATATTGTGCTTACTCATGGGAGTACTTGGTGATGGGTAACTCAAAGGGGTGGTAAGAATTTGCGTTTATGTAGCATCTTAGCAAAGAATTTATAGACTGTGAGATTTTAGGGGTAGCAGATTGTGGAAAGGCAAATAACTGAGGAAACTAATGGTAGACAGGGCTGGTTTCAGCAAAAATTGTTATGTAGATTCCTCTGGTGCTGTCTCCTAGCTGATGAGGGTCCCTCATTGCATCAGTGGTTAACTTCTGTCCTTCCTGGTAGAGAGGGGAGAGGTACACCTTTATAAATTTATACCTGGGTTTTAAGCAAATAAAGGGAATGCAAAGAGCTTTTCATGTATCTGTTTCTTCTCAATTGCCTTCAGCTCAAAATAATCCTTATGCCAACTTACATAGTTTGGGATGGCATGTTCTGTATCCTTCACTACAATAACAAGAAACCACGATAACTTGTTAGTACATTTATTCTTAGAATAGTGTGTGAAGAAGGGCTTTATGTGTTGAGCAATTTTAATATAATTTTCTGCACAGTGTACTAAAAAAGATTTTTTAAATTAAAGTTTCCTAAATCTTTTATGCTATCGAGGAAAATGCAGGTTCTATTTACCTCAATATTATGATATTTCTAAGAAGCTAAGCAAATAAAAAAGACTCTTCTAAGAGCAATTTCAAAAATAATTTCTTTTCAGATTTACTTTAACAATAAACACTTAACAAGGGGCGAGTCCCCCACATTGATTATAGTAAGAAAAGAATCTTGATTTCAATTGCCAGATTCTCAAATTACTGTATTGTGTAATATCAGAGCTACTAAAATCAGTGTACATTTATTATTTAAAAATCAGGCTCTTAAATAGCAATGTGAAAACTAGGTCTATCTACTTACCCAGCCTAGGCATATGATATAGCAGAACAAATTAGTTCTGAATCATGAATTTTATCTTTCATTATTTTAGGCCCTTTAAGTAAATTTTTATGGAAATAGACATACAAAAAGTGCACAAATCGTAGCTTATGCCTGTTTTGAAATTTATCGCTCATATATGTATACCTTTCTTATAAGATAGATCCATTAGACATTTTAAAACACATATATTTAAGAATGTGGAGAGCAGGAAATGTCTGTAAACTTTACCGTCAGTGTAATTTGATGCTTTATTGTTGATACTTAAAGTTGTCTGTTTATTTATGGATTTAGAGTGCTGCCTGAAGTTTTCCTTTCTATGTATTTTTAAGGCTCCACGGTTTTTAATGTCTTCAGAGGAGTTTTAGAAGTGGTAATCGGTGTGGCAACTGGATCTCTTCTTGGATTTTTTATTCAGTACTTTCCAAGCAGTGATCAGGTAAAAAAATATAATATGTGGGAAAGCCATGCTCTAAAACGTCGTTGGAAAAACATTCTGGAACACTTTCCTCAAAGCCAGTGTGAAAGTCAAGATTTAGAAAACCAACCCCCATTTTCAAACTGCTTATTGCTCTGTCAGTGCTGTCCATGAAGAGGACTAAATGTATAAGATTTTAATGCAGACCTGAAATTTCCGTTCTCAAATTTATATTCAGTACATTTCAAATTTCACTGTAAAACAAGTAATATCATTCCAAAATGATAGCATTTACAAGTTTTTAATTTTTAAAATTAATTTGTTTTTTATTTTATTATTTCCATTTTTATTTACTATTCATAAATTCAACTAAGTCAAGATACAAAATGGCTTTTGGGGCCTTTTTCTAGCATCAAAATACCTTAGATTCTAATAGTATCAAATAGATAGACCTTAACATTTCATTAAAATATAGTACAATATTTATAACTGAGATCAAAGTTCTTTGCTATACACAATGATTTCTTAATGAGAAATAAATATTTTGTTTGTTTCCCCTACACTCCTAAGTCTCTTAGGATAGATAAACATAAAAATTGGTTTTTTTTCTATAAGAATTGGCATTTTGAAGATTTCAGAGCATTTTGAATGGTATTAGAAACATAACTAAAGTAGAACCTTAAGTAAGAAAATTAATATTTCCATTATCAGTATGTTGTGTTGAATTTTCTTTGTGCTTTAAAAAACTCCAAATAAAATTGTCTATAAATGATTTTATGAATTCTAAAAGAAAATGTCAGGATTTTTCTAATTACACAACAAAATAAAGAGAAAAATGATGGCTCACATTTGGTTTCTTACTGTGTATAAAATGATGTGATAAGTACAATAAAGTGCCACTCTGTTCAACATGGCAGCCACTAGCTACCTGTGGCTATGACAGATATAGAATATTTCCACAGACAGTGCAGATATAAAAATTCCATCATCACTGGACATTCTATTGAGAAGCACTGATCTGGTGCAATCCACACAACTCGTGATGAGAATATTATTCATATGAACATTTTATTGATAAGGAAATCAAAGCTTAGAGAGAAGTGATTTGAACAAAGTCACAAAGCTAGAGTGCAGCAGAGCTGGGAATGAACTCAGTTAATTCACTTCCAGAGCCTACATGCTGCCAAGTCAAGCACTTTTAAAGACCTGCCTGCTTTCTAAAGTGATCAAGAAGTTTAAAAGGCTGAACAGGGAAAAGTAGAGAGGTACACATTTCATAAACTTTAAAAATCAACAATAACAAAAAACTTGCTATAGCCTCTTAAAACTTCTTGGTATTCAAGGATTGGAAAGAAAAACCAGGAGAGCATCACATTAAAGAGTAAACAGAGAGCCTAAAAATAATAACAATATCATATGTTTAACCCTCAAAACAAGCCTGCAATGTAACAGCTTTCAGGGAGGAGGAAATAAAACTCAGGGAGTCTAAGGTGCCACACATACACCAATGATGTAAAAGAGCTAGAATTTTAACCTGGTCTCTCTGGCTCCAAACCTCATGTACTGTTTTCTGCTATTGCATTCAGCTCTCTGATATTCTGCATCGGTACCTACAAAAGAAGCTCTTATTCCTGATAGAGGAACCTACATTCATACATGTGCTAATTCTACTTTTGTTAGGGAAAGGAAAGTAAATGTTATGTCTTGCATTTATATGCACAGATACAGGCATTTTTATTTTCCACTAAGTCCTGAAGATGGAAAAAATCAGTAATTAAAAATCAGTTATGTGAAATAATTGAGCTAATCAACCTTTTTTCTCCTCCAGGCCAAACTTGTCTGGAAGAGAGCATTCCTTGTTTTGGGGCTGTCTGTGCTGGCAGTGTTCAGCAGTGTGTACTTTGGTTTCCCTGGGTCAGGAGGACTGTGCACGTTGGTCATGGCTTTCCTTGCAGGCCTGGGGTGGACCAGCAAAAAGGTGAAGTGTATTTTAAGTTTTCCTCACGACTGTTTTCTGATCAGATTAATTTTTTCTTTCCAGACACTTTCTTAACATCAAATTAATAAATTATTTAACCATAAAAGCTATTTTCTATACATATACAAATGTACCCCCAAATGCGCGCGCACACATGCAGATGCGCGCACACACACATACACACACACACACACACACACATTCTTTTTTTTCTCTTATATACCAATCTATAACTTGATGTCTTTACTTAAAATATATCATGGTCATAATTCCATGATGTCTTTCTTATTCTTTGTAAGGGCTGCAAAGTATTGCATTATATAGCTGTATGATATTAAACCAGTCCCTTACTAACAGACATTTAAATTGATTATAGTTTTCTGCTAAACAAAAAGTGCTTCAATAAAATACCCTTATTTTATACCACATTTCATAAACTCTGACACTATCAAATTTAGGAAACAACATTATTTTGTAGGCCACCAAGAAAGAAAAAGAATATTACCAATTCGACTATGACATGACATCCTAATTTCAAAAATCTTTAAATGTAAAAAGAAATGTGTATCTTAAAATCAACAAAATATAGCATATCTTTGAGTTTATCTATAGGATAAACTCCTAGAAATAGGATTGCTTTATAACGGAGTATGCACATTGAGACTTGATAGTATCAACCTGACCTTTTAAAAGGCTGTACCAGTTTATATTCCCACCAACAGTATGTAAGATCTGTTTTTCTGATCTGAATATGTTCAATCTTCAGATACATTACTAATTGGATAGGTGAAAAATATATGTCATTATTGATCTGATGCATTTCTTTTTATGAGTGAAGCTAATCACCTTTTCATATGTCTACTAGCCAGTTTGTTCAAATGCCTATGCTAATTTTCCAAAAGATTATTTTGGTTTTTCTTACTGATTTTCAAGACAATTAAGAATATTCATTTTCTTAATGTGTATTATAGAAACTATCTGGTTGCCATTTATTTATTTTAATTTCAAGATACATTTTTGTAGATTTGATCTCGACAGGATCCTATGGTATTCTGTTTCATGAAGAATTAAATGTGGGTGACCTAAACTAAATGCAAATATATTATTTTGGAAAACTTGAAGACAACAGTTCAAAATAAGCCTAAAGTAATGCCACATGTAAATATGTAAAGGTTTTAAATCTTCAGCTTAAATATATAATTACATTCAATTAAATGATCTCTGCAGAGATCTACTAAAGATAGAGTTTCATTGTGGGTAAACAGCATTCAGGTAGAGAAGGCTTTCACTCTATAAGGGTGTGATGTAAAATTAGGACAAGCATAATTGACTCGACTTGCTTTCGAGAAGGGATGGATTGATAGGGGCTGTCAAGAGCCTTGTGTAGAGAAGGGTATTGGGGCCACAGAAAAATGGACTGAGATAGATGAGGCTTTAAGGGAAAGGAGAGAGTCCCTTTGAAACCCTGCTCTAGGCAGTAGATGGGCATCTTGGTTTGCCCCCTCATCAGTAGGCTCAGCTCTAAGGCTTATTTCAGGACATTTTTTTTTTTTTTTAAGTAAGACCTATATCATTAAATTCTACTTTCTAATTTCAAGTAACTTAACATCTGACAAGAGCAAAGCTAAAACATAAACTTATATATTGAGTACTCTCATCATCCCTCATCTCTTTGCTGTATTCCATCCTAGCCTGGGCTTCTGACCAATACACCCTGCTCTCTGAAGCCCTCTTGTCTGCTCCTTTGCCCCAGGACCAAGGTCACAGTTTTCACTTAGTGAAAGGATGCCACTGCATTACACCGTGACCCCTTGTTCAACATCTAGGAAGTTTACACGGCATTAGCATTTTATAGACCGGCCTGCTTTCTAAAGTGATCAAGAAGTTTAAAAGGCTGAACAGGGAAAAGTAGAGAGGTACACATTTCATAAACTTTAAAAATCAACAATAACAAAAAACCTGCTATAGCTTCTTAAAACTTCTTGGTATTCAAGGATTGGAAAGAAAAACCAGGAGAGCATCACATTAAAGAGTAAACAGAGAGCCTAAAAATAATAACAATATCATATGTTTAACCCTCAAAACAAGCCTGCAATGTAACAGCTTTCAGGGAGGAGGAAATAAAACTCAGGGAGTCTAAGGTGCCACACATAATGATATGATGTAAAAGAGCTAGAATTTTAACCTGGTCTCTCTGGCTCCAAACCTCATGTACTGTTTTCTGCTATTGCATTCAGCTCTCTGATATATCGGTACCTTACCTACAAAAGAAGCTCTTATTGCTGATAGAGGAACCTACATTCATACATGTGCTAATTCTACTTTTGTTAGTGAAAGGAAAGTAAATGTTATGTCTTGCATTTATATGCACAGATACAGGCATTTTTATTTTCCACTAAGTCCTGAAGATGGAAAAAATCAGTAATTAAAAATCAGTTATGTGAAATAATTGAGCTAATCAACCTTTTTTCTCCTCCAGGCCAAACTTGTCTGGAAGAGAGCATTCCTTGTTTTGGGGCTGTCTGTGCTGGCAGTGTTCAGCAGTGTGTACATTGGT